GGGACAGAGAGATAGGGACAGAGAGAGAGAGGGAGAGAGAGAGTTTAGTCTTTTTTCAGAAAATCTCACCTCGAAGTGATCTGTCTCCAGCTCATCATTCTGGTGGATCTTCTCGCTGAAGAGGGAGATCGGATCCCGGATAAACAGATGGGCGAAGTGGCGAGCAAGAGACCTGCCCATACCTGCAGATGAAAACAATTCATAGTTTTGTCACATATCACTATTCATTTACCTTATTCTTACAGAATGCAGAGAATCCTATAAGTTATAACAAATTGTCGTTATTTGGCTCATAATCAGATGTAGAAGCGTTTCAACCTGTAAGAGTCTACAATTCAGCTACAAGGCTGACTTTCAAACATGAGTATGAAATTGATGAACAAAGGAATAAATGAATGAATGAATGAATGAAGGATCAACACCATGAAATAATGAATAAAGCAGTCTACTACTACTAAATTAAAACATAGTTTCCAAGATTCTTTTGCGTTGAACGATTGAACTGAACGATCTATCGCCATTGACCCCTGACCTGCATCCTGAAGTTGCTGGCAGATGTCCTGGTCCAGAACAAGGTCAATGTCGTTGTACTTCTCGGCCTCCGGAGTCAGGTAACAGTCGATGGAGTCATACCTGGACTTTGGAATCACAAACTTGTCATGCTTCAGGGGCTAAAGGGGAGGGAAAAATTCTATCAGATATTAGAGGTCCATACATACAGTCTAACAGGTTTATCCTTATTATGACAAAAAGGCTAAACCTTCTGTCCAACACTAAGTAAATTGGGACTTTCCCAAATTTTCAGCGGCGAGCCGACTCCGTCAGCCCTGTTGACGGAATGGACCCGTCTACAGCAGATTCCGGGACGTGACGTCGAAAACACGTGATTGCAGAAGAGGGTCATACGTGTCAGATAACCTGTGGCGCCCCCCGTCTCTGTTCAGTGTTGGACGGAGTTAGCTGAAAATTCGGGTAAGTCCCAATTTACTTAGTATTGGACAGAACGTTTTATAATATAAGCCTTTTGATCATAATGAAGTACACCAACCCTGATGAACTTTCATGCTAAGGTTCATCCTCAGTCATGCGCAGGATGTGTCCCAATACTCTCCAAGCAGAGGTTTGGGTTTTGGGGGGTATATTTAGCGTGCTTTTAGGCTTTTTATCGGGGTTTCTCTTTTGCACTGAGTTTGGTGGGAAAAAAATTCAGTGCAAAAGAGAAACCCCGATAAAAAAGCCTAAAAACACGCTAAAAATACCCCCAAAACCCAAACCTCTGCTTGGAGAGTAGAAAGTTTATCGCAGAAAGTTTATCTCTGATAATAAAACAAGTAGACTGGACTGTAAAAATAAGAATGTATCTGACCTCTAGTCCCCTCTCCTCGCGTGTCCTACAGTCGACTGACTGTGAGATGATGTTGCACCTGCAGTCTGTATCCGCCAGGTACCCACGGTGCACTGGGGCGGCCGCACTCAGTGCCAGCTAAATGGAAACAAATATTCGCATGAAAGGAGCCCGCAGGAGAAAATTAACACATTCTCACACGCCTGCTTAACTCAAACAATGGTCTCATAAAACTGGTAATTCACTCGGACATAATCTCCATCAACAACTTCTGGTAACACTACGTCAACCTGATATTTAGACAGTCCGCACATTAAATTTCCTTAACATTGTATTTTAATTTCTATGTAATTTATGTTTTGATATAGGCCATGTGCCTCAAATAAAGAATGAATTGACTTGAGACAAAAAAAATGTTCCGATACGCAAACTAAACAAGATATCTACCTATTGAAATGTCTACCTTCCTATCCATCCATCCATCCATCCATCCACCCACCCACCCATCCATCCATCCATCCATCCATCTATCCACCCATCCATCCATCCATCCATCCATCCAACAATCGATCTATCAATCTATCCTTCCATCTATCCATCCATCCATCTATCAAATTTCATACTTACAAAGATCGGACAGAGCGGTGCCAGCTGATCATACAAGCGCAGAGCCTCCCCCAAATCAGAAGCCTGGAGTGTGCACTGTATGTATCCATCCACCCATCTATCCATCCATCCCTCCATCCATCCATCCCTCCCTCCTTCCATCCATCCATCCACCCATCTATCTATTCATCCAGCCATCCATCCATCCATCCACCCATCCATCCATCTATCCATCCATCCATCCATCCATACACCCACCCTCCCATTCAACCAATTTTATACTTACAAAGATCGGACAGAGCGGTGCCAGCTGATCATACAGACGCAAGGCCTCCCCCAGATCACTAGCCTGTAAGGTGCACTGCACACAGGCCAGTCCAAACGCCGTGTAATCCATATAGATGTGGTCATCTTTAGCGTTACGATTCGCTTCCACGTCGTCGATTGGGAACGTCTCTTTGAATGGCTTTGGTGTATTTGAATCTTTGAACACTGTGGGTTGGAACAAATGTGGAATTTAACTAGAAAAGTAACGTCCGTAAAGCAAATGCATAATGCTTACCTTCACATATGGACTGCTCTGTTAATAACTACTCAAACGCACACACACACGCACACACACACACACACACACACACACACACACACACACACACACACACACATATATATATATATATATATATAGATATATATGTCAGATAGGAGTCTAAATCCTTCTGCTATAAAATTGCAACATGATAGAACCCGATTTATACTAGACACTAGTTACCATGGTAACAGTCTGGTTCAGATCATTGACCTTTTTTGGTTTAGAGAAGAAGAAGAAACTGAGCAAAAACGATAGAAAATCATAGAAAGCTGGTGCTCTTTGATTACCACATCTATGCCTATGGTGGTAGTGGTAGTAAGGTTACTACAGGACCCAATTAATTACCTGGTATGTTGACGCTGACTTTTTCTCCTCTCCTCTCTCTTATGTTGCGGACAAAATTCCTAAATGGAGAAAAATGGCAAATAAAACGGTAAAGTTAGCAACCAAAAGTAATCAAGTACATGAACATAAATTTTCATCGGGGAGAAATTCTATATATATGGTAAAAATACAGTAACGATTTTGCAATGTTATGAGAAAGTAATTCTAAGTACTTGCATTGCATGGCATGAAATCGAAGCATCTGTTAAAAAACACCAGTAAATTTTGTTTGAAACATTTAAAAGCTACCTCTGTAAGTGGTGGTGGGTTACATCGTGTTGCAATTTTATAGCAGGAGGGATTTATACTCCTGTCTGACCATATACTAGTATATGAATGTGATTTAGTAAGAATTAACAGACCAGACCATATGTGAAGGTAAACATTATGCATTTGCTTTGCAAATGTTACCTTTCTAGTTCTAGTTCTTTTTTATGGAGCAAACTCTTCTGGTTCTCACCTGTATAACTGAAAGGGTTATGCCCGTAGAAAATACTGATTATAAAAATCATTTGTATAATTCATTACGAAATTCTTTAAATTAGCTGCATTTCATGACCGCCAAACAAGAGATGTGTGACTAACAAATAGAGGAACACCAATTGACACACACAGACAGACACACAGAGAGACAGACAATGGAAAACAATTAGTTTGCCCAATTTCTCACCTAAACCTGGGATGAATGCTGATCGCAGCGTCAGGGAAGAACAGCGAACGCGATTCCGGATTTACTGTCGGATTACACTCCACCTCTGGGTCTGTGAAGCCTGGGCAGCCATGCCTGGAGAAAAACCAGCATAAAATGAGTAGAAAATCCTCACTCTGATACAAAAAAACTTCACAAGTACTACTGAAGAAAAACTCCAGGGTCGCTATTGCTAAGTTTTGTTTAACATTTTATCAGGGTCTGGGTCTGCGAAACTCCAGTCTTTGTCAAGGAATGAGCAACTCAACAGAGACGGGGGGCGCCACAGACTTTCTGCAACCTATGATCCACTGCTCACGGAGTCACGTGTGTTATCTGCGTGACGTCACGGAAGCGGTGGATTGCTCATTCCTTGACAAAGACTGGAGCTGGCCCTCCCCTCGGTTAAAATATATTTTCCATGGCCCTCCCCCCAAGCCCAAATATTTTTTTCAATGGCCCTCCCTCGAGTGCACTAGCCCTCCCCCGGTAAATATCGTACAGTCCCTAATACATCGAGAAACAGATTTTGTGTAGAATGTTGAAATAACATGTAGTCACCTTGGGAAGGAAGTTAATGTGAGGACAGTTTCTCCCCTTTTCTGGTCCAGTACTGACAATATCTCTTCTCGTCTGAAACACATGAAAATTATGTTTAAAGTTAAAACTTTTGGCCCAACACAAAAAATTCTTTCTCCTAGAGCTTTCGACCAGTCACTCTGGTATAAATAAATGAATAAAAATAAATAAATAAATCATTTACCTCAGCCTCATGTTGGCCTCCACCATGTTCAAATGCTCCATAAGGTGTCCATACGGCCGGATCGGCGTTCCCTCCAACATGAAAGCGCCATGCTCTGGGTGCCAGGACGCCGGGTAGTCCCTGCAATGTAAAAAAAAAGACTGGCCATGAAAACATGCATTGCCATGGCGGCGGTTGTTGGTAGACTTGTTGACGCTGTCCACTAAGTACAAAGTAGGGATGTGGGCATAGATGTGTGTCAGCAAAATTCCAGAGCTGTGAGACATTCATGTGAACATTCCAAGCCTTAGCCTCCGTTGCAGGCTTATAGAACTGGGGGTTTGGTGGTCTTCGGCTGTTTTCTGATTAGCCCAGTAGCCTCCGTTGCAGGCTTATAGAACTGGGGGTTTGGTGGTCTTCGGCTGTTTTCTGATTAGCCCAGTAGCCTCCGTAGCATGCTTATAGAACTGGGGGTTTGGTGGTCTTCGGCTGTTTTCTGATTAGCCTCTGTAGCAGGCTTATAGAACTGGGGGTTTGGTGGTCTTCGGCTGTTTTCTGATTAGCCCAGTTCTAAAAACGGGGGTAATTCAACCAGGCCTGTGCACGCTATCAAAGGAAGACCCTGGTCCTTACAAGTGTGTCGGAAGAAAGTTGCCAGGCCAGTTGGACAACACACAGTATATCATTTAGGCTGATGCAGACAGCTGTATTGACGTCTATAGTGTCCAGTAACAGCCGTGCCAATTTCTACGTGACAAAACTTCTTTTTTTTTTACCTGGGACTTTCTTTCTCCCTCTTCTCCAGTATTTCCAGAACTTCGTTTGCGTTGAGACTCAGGCGGGCCGTCTTGGTGTCTTCATCCATAACAACCAGCATGTACTCCATCTAGCAACCAAACATAACAGTTCTTCAATGTATAACAAATATAAAGTTGACATCTTTGAGAAAAATACAGTTTTTATTTGCAAGCCCATTCCTGCAACATGAAATAATATACAATGTATATAGAGAGTATACAGAAAGTGCAGATTAACAAAAGTGGAAGAAGTGACAGACTACTAAGAACTGCTTCGGAAAACAATCCTTAAGTAATGGCATTGCTTTTTGGCGTCTAAGAACAATCTATATAATAGAAAAAAGTATACTATTAGGGGTTTTATACTGGGAGGGACATTTTTTTAAGGAAACCCACAGCAGTATCTTACCTCTTTGATTTTTTACGAGCCATTTATTTTTTACGAGCCGACGTTTCGATGACCGTCTGTCATCTTCATCAGGGCAATTCAGAAGAAGACAGACGGTCATCGATACGCCGGCTCGTAAAAAATAAATGGTTATGATCAAAGAACTTTGCTATTCATTCGTTTACCAACCTGATGAAATTATTTACATAAGTGTCTTACCTCGTCTCCCCATTTCAAGACATCTCCATGTCGATCTTTAAGTCGCCGGTAGATGTTTATCAGTTGTTGGATGCCGTGTTTTCGGACATGGTCTGACCATTTCTTCGTGTCTTCCCAACTAAGCGGCGTTCCCAAAGTTAGTAGACCCATGGTGCAAAACGCCTGTAGCTGTGCACATGCAGGGAGCTACATAGAAATAATTTGTTGCCACAGCTGTTGTCGGACCCTAGTCTTCAATTAAGTTGTCTTCCTAGATGCCTAGATGATATACGATGTGTTGTCCAACCGGCATGGCAACTTTTTTCCGACAAATTTAGACAACGTTCATACCAAGGTGGTTTAAACCATATATTAAGTAGAGAACCACGATCTCATACCTTCGCCAAATGATGTTAATCTCTATGACTGACAAAGTAAGGATAATTCCTCCTGATTATGCAAATAGGATCCTCATTTGCATGAATTATATCAGTTGATCACATTCTCCACCAAAAGCAGCCTTATCTTGACACAGAAAGCCATTTCCTCATGAAATATGCAAATGAGTTACTTATTTGAACAAGTTATGTTTAATGATGTTCACCTTCACTTAACTTTCAATACCCCAGTATGAAATTCTAGGCAGTTACCAATATGGAATTATAACATTTTCACATTAATTATGCAAATTAAGTGTTAATTTACATAATCAACATCTGCCTCTGTTTCTCTCGTTCTCAATTTAATACATGTCACAAGCTTGAATAGTCCTACATCCCCACACGAACGCCTCTGAAAACATAACCTTCTTGGCAAAGGTAATTACAAGGGACCAAAGCTACCCTTAAAGTGCAGGGTCTGAATTATCCTGGATGCCAAACTCGTTTCGGGCCTCTAGTAGCAATTTCGTTCGGCAGCCAAGAGCCCTTCGCCCGCCTATATAATTTATAAATTACCGCTACGGGGAGACTAGCTCGGGGGGAGTTTGGCTGGCCCTTTGACGTTCTAGGGCCGGACAAACCCCTCAGG